TTCCAGAACATCCCCCAAATAACTTTCTACTGTCGAATAGAATTTATTAATGATACTTTTGGTTCTGTAATATTAAGGATATAAATTTTTGGTTTTGGTGTATGGTTGGTTCTACCTAAATAGTTTGAAGGAATGTAGTGAGATGTATCTATTAGATGTGTGTGTGTGTGTGTGTGTGTGTGTGTGTGTGTGTATTCATGGGACAATGCTAAGAATTAAGAAGCTGGACAACTGGATTTAGTAGCAGGATCCTTCTCCAGCAAGGTCAAGTGCCCATAAGGACTGTGGAAGGAGAATCATAAGCTGCAGGGACTTACAGATTTAACAGGCTTGTAAACGCACCCAGTCCTGTGACGTCTGTAAACATCTATTTTGAATTATAATCCTGGATGCTACCAAAAGGAATGTTGCTCAAACTTCTTATAATGACAGATACATTAAAATATTGTGACACTTTCTCCAAGGGTTTCCTTTAAAGAAATCATGGGGAAAATATGGAACATTTTGGCTTAAGAAAGAATGATCCTTGTCCTGCAAATACCAAGTTTAATAAACTCAAGGGAGATGTATGAGGGTTTTACTACCCATTTTTCTCTCCAACACATAATGTATTTGCTATTTGTAGTCAAATACACTTTTTTTAAAAATGAAAAAGGAGAACCACTTAAATATTCACCCCATTGACTTCACTAAGATTTACACATTCATCTGAAAGAGGAACTTGTCCCTAATGGACTATATGAACAAGCATTTCCATGTCACGATGCCCTTGACACATTGCACACTAACTGCTCTGACTGTTGGAACTCCTTCAATATTGTACAAGGTAACTAACCCTGTAAATGATTTGGCTGGTATAGACAATATCCAATGGAACAGTCTTAACTCACACCTCTTTGTGCCTTGGATCTTTTAATCATTTTTGTCAGCAAATTTTGAGCCAAGAAAATCAATTTTAGCACAGATAAACCATTTGCAAATGTTGGACCTAGAGGAAAATGTTAAGATTCACTTCATATCAACTAAGTAGTATCAAACAAATTTAAAAAGAAAATATGTTAACTAAGTAAAGGTATTTTACTTAGAATAGTGATTACTAATGTTTAGCAGGCACTTCATGCACTACTTTGTGCAACGCTTACAATGGCAGGGGAAAAAGAAAAACAAAAGCGGGAATTCACAGCTGCACCTTCCCAAGGAACTTACCGTGGGGGAGAGAAATGTGCAAAAATACTCCCAGGGGGTTAAGATACGTGCATGTAGGAAACAAGCACTGAGGTTCTCTCCTAGCCTCGCTGATGACATGATGAGGTTGTTCTAAAACCCTACCCCAAGCATAGTCAGCATCCAGATCTTCCCAACTCTGAAGACAGGATGCTGGTTAGGTTGAGAGGTCCTGAGAGGACATTCTTACAGGGGTAACACCAGGACACACACATCTTAGTGCAATGATCTATTCTCCCAGTCCTGTTTCCGTAGCTCTATTGATTATCATTTATCTTATAACCGGTTTGGGCCACTAAAGCAGGTGGCCAGGCTATGTTAAATCCCAAGCCCATGCTGTGCGCATTGCTAGAATGTACACCTGAGCTTGGCATTCAGGAGCCATTCAAAAATTGTCATTTGCCCAGCTGGTGTGGCTCCGTGGTTGAGCATTGACCTATGAACCAGAAAGTCATGGTTGAATCCCCGTTCGGGGCATATGCCAGAGTTGCAGGCTCGATCCCCAGTGTGGGGTGTATAAGACGCAGTTGATCCATGATTCTCTCTCATCACTGATGTTTCTATCTCTCTCTTCCTCTCCTTCTCTCTTCCCCTTTGAAATCAATAAAAATACATTAAAAAAATAAGACTGTCATTCCCTGGCTGACACACCATTTCTCATTTCTTAGACATATGAAAAAGATAAATGGATTGTATGTAAAAGTTCTTGGGACTATTATTTAAGGCCAATACCTTGAAATGCCCTGGGGACAGGGTACAATTTATATTTATAAAGTTAATTAGAGAAGTCTTATTTGTAATGGAATTATGGGAAGTGACATACATATTGCAATACATGCTTTCTATTCCCTAATTAATAGGCTATCTTGTAAAAGATGACCCTAATTTTTAAATACAATTGAAAAAAAATAAGGCAATGCACCTGAGTGGCTTTATGAACTGAAATGTTATTCAAATATAGGCATTATTACTATTACCATAATTAATGAAATAAGGGTATTATTATTACCCTGGCCATAGTGAACCTTCTTTTAAAAGTATTTGTGTGACAGGGGAAAAGTGATTGTGTCATGACTAGATTTTTCGTCTGATAAACATTGATTTATAGATATGTAGAAACTATAAGAGAAGTGGTGATACCAGTTTTATGCAATTAAAAATGATAAAAATGCCCAAAATACTTAGCTTCTGAGATATTTTCTTCACAGCAGTGGCTCTTGACCTGAGAAGCCTGTCGAGTGACCTGGGATGGAGTGGGGAGGTGGGAAGTGAGCAGCAGGCATGTGAAATCTGAAAGCCCCCTGCGTGATCCTGTCACAGTTCTAGCTTGAGAATCACCTCTTTACTATGTGAAAGTAATTGAGCCGAGAAATACTTGATGACTCTGAGTACAAGTTGTCAGTCTTTGAGAACATTCTGTTGTACATCTCTGCCTTGAAATATATCACATCCCTCGGATTTTAAAAGGTCATGTTGCTCTTGACTATTTTTTAAATAGATACCTCTTTAGTCAAGCCAAGTTGACACCTCAAGGATGGAGGTATTGTATAGCTCATCTGCCATTCATCTATATCCGTGGTTCTCAACCTTCTGGCCCTTTAAATACAGTTCCTCATGTTGTGACCCAACCATAAAATTATTTTCGTTGCTACTTCATAACTGTAATGTTGCTACTGTTATGAATCGTAATGTAAATATCTGATATGCAGGATGGTCTTAGGCGACCCCTGTGAAAGGGTCGTTCGACCACCAAAGGGGTCGCGACCCACAGGTTGAGAACCGCTGATCTATATGATGCGCAGTATCAAAGGTGATGACATTTCCTGAACCAAAAGGCAGGCCTGAGGGTCCAAAAGAAAACCTGACTTTTAAACAAGGCTGTACCAGAAATCACTGATCGTTGCTTATCATCCACATCACTGTTCTTTTGAGAGCAGTCTCTACACACTCAGCCATGACAGGTTCTCACCAGAAATCTAATAATTGATTTTTGCTGCTATTTCTTGATAATAATAGAGTTGAGGAATACTGTGTGTCCTTCCCAAACCTGCTCATACCCTGCCCTCCCTTGGAAACACCTTTATAAACTCATGTACCTATTCCTGTCCTTGTGCTTTACACCCGTCTCCTCTGCATCCTTATTCATTATCTATCGTCACCTGGAATTTCTCTTCTCTTTCTTATGTTTTTGGCATCTTCTTCATCATTCCTTACTCTGCCTAAAACAAGTTCTAAAGCTATTCCAAATATTAAACTGCATTAAACAAAACAAACAATTCATTTTTTTCTAGTAGCCAGATTATTCTACAGGTGCCATAACATAGTTACCTTCACTGCCTACTTCTTAAAATCATTAACAGTACTCCCTGACCGTAAGTGTATATCTTAACTTTTGTTTTCCTTGATCAACTATTCAAATTCCCTGGCCACAGGCGCAGCGTTTCTGATTCAGTAGGACTGGGTTTGGATCTAGGATCTGCATTTATATGAGACAAACCAGGTGAATCTAGTACAGGAGGCATCCAGCCCAGCCGGGGTGGTTCAGTGGTTGAGCATCGACCTATGAACCAGGAGGTCCCAGTTTGATTCTCGGTCAGGACACATGCCCGGGTTGCGGGCTCAATCCCCAATAAGGGGTGTGTAGGAGGCAGCTGATCAATGATTGTCTCTCATCATTGATGTTTCTATCTCTCCCTCCCTCTCCCTTCCTCTCTGAAGTCAATAAAAATATATTTTAAAAATAGAGGAGGCATTCAGATTGTACTTTGACCACACCCTTTCATAGGACTTCAACTCTATGCCAACAGCACCTAAATCATTGCAACCAACTCCATCCTCTCCTCTGGACCTACAAACTACATTTCCCGGCATGTCTGACCTGATCCCTCAGACTCATCGTATCCTAATCTTAATGCACCATTAACCCCCAAAACTTGCTCCTCATCAACTATACTCTGAGACAGCACCCAACTGTAAGCACATTTTTTACTCCTTCTGCCTCACGCCATGCCGATTCATAAATTAAGCAATCCAGTCCTCACCTCTGTTCTCACTGTTTCCCAAGTGGAGGCTTTGATGGGAGCTGTTTGGACTCTTTTGTTTACTTCCCGAATGGGCTCTCACAATAGCCTCCCTTCAAACTTTTATACTTAAAATCAAGACTGATGGTATCATCCTTTTGCTAATCTTGGCAAAGTTCCTATTCATCTTTAAAACTGCATACAAACCCATTTTTGTGTCACTACAGGATTTTTATCATCTTACTCCAGTCTACCCACCAGTCTCGTCTCTTATAATGTCTTCATCTCCCCTCAACCCCCCTCCATCCTCTCTATCCCCGGCCTCCTTGGCATTCCGACACTGTGCTTTCATAATCTCTACTTTCTCCCAGGCAATCTTCATAGGAGTATAAGTTAGTATATCATTTATGGAAATAAATTTTGTGACAACCATGAGAGTTCTACCCCTGTTTTGTTGTTACAGCTATACTGACTTAATCATAGCCAATATTTGTTGATTTTTCTCCCCCATGTACCCTGGAGCATTAGACTCATTTAAATCTCACAAGTACTCTCACTTCATCTCCATTGAATAGATGAGGAAACAGAAACACAGGAAGGTTATACAACTGCCCGTAGTCACACAGCCAGTAAGTGGCTGAGCAGGATGGACTTTGGCTTTTGGCGACTTGTCTTCAGACCTAGTGCTCCCTGCTGCTCGGGAGGGAAACGCGAGTGGGCCTTTCTCTGAAGTGGGTGTCCTTTCTCTGCCCACAGGATCAAGAAGCTGAAGGAGACTCTGGTCGCGGTCCAGCAGCTGGACAAGAACATGAGCAGCCTGAGGACCTGGCTGGCTCACATTGAGTCAGAGCTGGCCAAGCCCATCGTCTATGATTCCTGCAACTCGGAAGAAATACAGAAGAAGCTCCAGGAGCAGCAGGTAAAACGGGAAACAATTGAAGGAAATAAATAGGCTTTTGAATATCTGTCCTCCTGGCCTGGCAAGAGGGTGGGTGTGAGAGGTGACTCGGGAGGGAAAGTGTGGAGGGTGCTTGGCAGGTTTAGGGAGTAAGGGGAGGCCTTGCCCAGGCAGGGGTTTGGGGCAAATAAGTTCCATGTTACCCCAGTGCTAACTCTTAAAAAGATATGTCATCACAGGATTAATGTTGTTGGTCGATCAAGAAGCCATCCTAAGATGGTAGGTTAGGTTGAGCAGCAATGATGTATCTAAAATAATGCTGACTGTTTTGTTTATTTATTTGTGGATCACTAGCTCACTACCATAAACTTGGAAAGAAACTTTTTTTTAAAAAATATGTTTTTGTTGATTTTTTTTTTCCTAGAGAGAGGTAGGGAGGAGGGGAAGAGAGAAAGAGAAACATTGATATGAGAGAGAAACATCAATCGCTGTCTCCCGTACATGTCCCCACTGGGGATCAAACCTGAATCCCTGGTATATTCCCTGATTGGGAATCAAACCAGAGATCCCCTTGGAGAATGAGACAATGCTCAACCAACTGAGCCACACTGGCCAGAAAGGAGCCATTTAAAATTTCATATAGTGGTGTTTGGAGAAAGATTACAGTGCATACTTAGAGATTTAGTGTCTAAAATAATTGTCTTTTGAAAGGAGGATTGCATGACCTGCAGACCACACGCAGTAATTTCACCTTCATTTGTGTACCAAAGACAGCATATTCCACTGGCATACAATACACACCCCAGCAAAGCAAAAGAGGGTGACCCTGAAAAATGCATACAGAAGGGATTTCCACCTCCCACTCCCCTTGCTGCTTCTTACTAAGCATAGCAGACTCCAGTTGTCATAAATGAACACCATCAACCCCCATCAAGTATTGCTACTTCATGCACTTAGATTGTCCTGAAAATTCTGTCCACACTCTGGTTATTTTTATTAGTATTTAGGCCACTATAGCCAAGTTTCTTAACTTGCTAGTAAAAATGTTTAAAATATATAAACATACCTATTTCTGCAATCCTGTGAAACAGTTTATATTTTTAGTTTTCAAACTATTTAAACCAATGAGAATAGGCATTAAACTACATTCTTTTTAGGTGTTGGGTTTACTTTGATATTTAAATTAGCATTTCTTTTTACAAGCAATTGTTAGGGTATTTTTTTCAATTTTTGTAAGATTAAAACCTCTGATGGACTCTTAGATGTTTGAAATTCTGATGATTGAACTTTGAGGGGGGGCTGTCAATAATCCAAATTTCCTGGAGAACATGGTAATGACAATTACAAGTGATAACTAAAGTTAAAATTTAATGACCAGTATTGTAATTTAGCAAAGGTAAGAAAATTAAAACAGTATCTAATTAAATATGGCAAATTGATTATATGCACATATAGCCCCACCCACTACTAAAACCCCAACGCAATGATAGTGAAGGGGGAAAAGAAAGTCAAAACCCACAATTGCAAAGAGAACAGAAGAGATGCTAGAGATGCCAGACATCCAACAGCATTTTGAATAGATGAATAGTGATGGTGTTAGCAGATGGAGGAAGGAGAAAGATCATTCATGCCACAGAGTTCCAAAAAGGCTCAGGATGTGGAGATATTAAGTCTGTATGGCTTTATGGAAGATTGCTTAAAAGTCTGAATAAGGAGTGATTAGACTTCAGATATTCTCAACACTCCCCGCCCCCTGTAGCCTAGCTAGTCAGGAGAAAAAGGTGAGAGAGAATATACATACAAGAATATTAATCCCAACTATGTGAGTAAATTGAGGAATTATCTTTAGAATGAGAGAAAAGCTAGGCATAGTCTAGAGCTGTATCAAAGAAAAGGAGAATATATTAAGGACCTTAATTAATAAGGCAAGCAAAAAATGAACTCGCTTTTAGTGATGGAAAACTTTGAGTACATTGAGTTAAAAACTCAATAGAAAAAATAATGTATGTTTTGTGCTGATATTCTTTGCAGTTAATATAAAGATTTCACAAAGTTCAATGCCTTCTTTACCATCATATCTATTTCCTTCATTTAAAATTGCTCACTGAGAAAAAAATAAGTAAATAAATAAATAAAAATAAAATTGCTCACTGAGGAAGCTGCTGATGATAATGATGATGTCATCATACATAGTAGACAACCTCGGTCCCTTAAACCCACGGTACCTCTTAACAGTGGTAGAATTAACATATATTTAGAGATCAAATCCCAGATCTTGAGTGCCAGCTGTTAACAGGAACACATATATTATTATGACCAATTCATTGATCAATTTATCCATGGGAATGGAAGTGATATATCTGTGAAGTTGAATCTGGGGCAAGATTTATATTTTTTAATTTATCTTCATTGTTGAAAGTATTACAGATGTCCCTGCCTTTTTTTCCCATTGACCACCTCACCCCGCACCTGCCTCGCCTAGGCCTTCACCACACTATTGTCTAGGTCAGCCGTGGGCAAACTACGGCCCACGGGCCGGATCCGGCCCGTTTGAAATGAATAAAACTAAAAAAAAAAAAAGACCGTACCCTTTTATGTAATGATGTTTACTTTGAATTTATATTAGTTCACACAAACACTCCATCCATGCTTTTGTTCCGGCCCTCCGGTCCAGTTTAAGAACCCACTGTGGCCCTCGAGTCAAAAAGTTTGCCCACCCCTGGTCTAGGTTCATTTTTTTTAATCCCTAAAAAGCTCATTTTATTCTTGATATAGCTAATGTAGTCTATTTCATTTGTTTAGTTTCTATTTTGGCATTGCTCACATAGCTGACATATTTCTAGATTCATTTACTCATGCTTTTGAGCTTGCCGTATCTTATAAATGAAGTTGAAGTCTCATGCGTTGAAGGAAATGAAATATTTGTCAACATTGGGCCTCAGCATTTGTCAGTCAGTTTCTCCCGTGTGTTTACAAGGATTGCAATAAAGCGTGTCTCATTCCCCACAGGACCTTCAGAGAGACATAGAGAAGCACAGCACGGGCGTGGCTTCCGTCCTCAACCTGTGTGAGGTCCTGCTGCATGACTGCGACGCGTGTGCCACCGACGCCGAGTGTGACTCCATCCAGCAGGCCACGCGGAACCTCGACCGGCGATGGAGAAACATCTGTGCCATGTCCATGGAAAGAAGGCTCAAGTAAGTGGGATGTTCAAACCGCTGGGAAAGAGGAAGGACCAAAAGAAAAAAAAATTACCCTGAGTAGCCATTGGTCACTATTTCCTTTCGGTTGCAAAGTCCAACAGTAGCCTGAGTTTTCTGAATTTGTCGTTGTCCACATTTAGTTGGGAAAACAAGCAGATAGAAAGGTAACATGCAAATATAACAAGCCAAATGATGCCTGACCTAACCCTTTAAATATAATTCAGAGAAATACGCCTTTGCTGAGTAAGCATAAGTTACAGAATTGGTGGTTGAACAATACCATTCTGTTGTTAAAAATTAAATGATAAAGCCAAGGGCTTATCTTAAAGCCCTTTGAAATTCAAGGCAGAAAAAGACAGTGCTGTGTTAGAAAATTAAGGTAGTGATTTAAGGCCCGTAATCTCTGTGCTCTCTGGGGAACTCTGGAAAGCTCACTGTTTGTCTTGCTGTCCTAGACTGATTTTGATGGGGGTGAGTTTGATGTTGGACTTCAGTGGGTTTTCAAACCTTGTTTTGTTTCAGCGAAGCCTTGGCACGCATGTGTGCACTGCAAACGTGGCCTTGCGCTTCCACATTCTCTTGCACTTTTCCGAACAGTTCACATCATTTGCATGTAACAATCGATGTGACTAATTCCACATCCAGAGCCGCAGGATGTGTGTTTAAAAAGAAACCCACAAAACAGCTGCATCATGTCAGCTCCAACAGTTGTCCCCTTTGCACTCGGGTCAGATTTGGCCCCAGCACAGCGATTGTTTGGCACCGCAGCTGCGTGTTTGGTCTTAATCCCGTGGCAGGTTCTGGAGCACGCACGGTCCCAAACAGTCAGACTCTGTTCTTTCGTGTTCTGTCTCAGAATTGAAGAGACATGGCAGTTGTGGCAGAAGTTTCTGGATGACTATTCGCGTTTTGAAGATTGGCTCAAGACTTCCGAAAGGACAGCCGCCTTCCCCAGCTCTTCCGGGGTGCTCTATACAGTTGCCAAGGAAGAACTGAAGAAATTTGAGGTGAGGTAGCGTTCCCAGTCTCTCGTCCTGCTGTTGCTATGGCAGTCCCCAGCTGGTAGTCGGTGTCCCAGGACAGAAACTCATGTTCACCCACACATTCTTTTCTTCAAACAGCTGGGGGATAAGGTTGTGACCATCTTTATTACCATCTCATAAATAGGCAAGAAGTGGGATACAAGACTTTTATTTTAATATGATCAAGAATTACAAATACAAAAATAAATATAAATAAATAAGTAAAAGAATTACAAATACAGTACAAAATAAAGTAATGAAGAGGAATTTTATTAGAAAACAAATATCAGGATTCCTCTTTCCCCCCACCCCCCACCCCCCCATACACACACCCCTCTCCAAAAGATCTTGGCATTCTTTTTAGTTCCTATTCTTTATAATCAACTATTTAAGATTAAAATATGATGGTTTTCCATACTATAAAAATCTATCTTCCAAATATATTTTCTTCATTTATTTTTACCTAATTGAAGCATGGAGATATATATATATTTAAATCAGTAATAAAATGGAGTTGGCTCCAGATTGAATGAAACATTTTAATCATGAGCCACTTCTAATTATAAGTGAAGAGCAGTGCCATTCTTGAGTCATGGAGACTTTTCAATTTTGTGGAGACAAAAATAGCCAGCCTAATCACACTTACAAAGGCAGGAATCCTTCAATAACTGACTCCCATTCCCCACAATCCTGAGTATGCCCTGTCACTGTGATAGGAGAAAACCTCAACTTCTCGGCCGGCATAGCATGAAGTCAACCTTTTTTCAATTTGAAGTTTCTTCTCCTGTCATTTCCCAGATAGGCAGACGTGTGTACTCATAGATACTGACAGCAAATGGTTCTGATGCATGTGTCTTACAAAAATTATTCTCCGTTATTCATTCTTCCCAAAGCTCCCCAAGATGTTTAAAAGTCAGAATAAAAATCAAACCCAATACAGCTGCATTCATTTTTTAATTTATTTTAAAAGTAACTCCCATTGGTGCTTTATTTATTGTTGTTTTTTGATATCTTTTTATTGATTTTCAGAGAGGGAGGGAGAGGGAAAGAGAGTTAGAAAATCAATGATGGGAGAGAATCATGGATCAGCTGCCTCCTGCACGCCCCCTACTGGGGATCGAGCCCACAACCCAGGCATGTGCCCTTGACCTGAATCACACCCAGGACCTTTCAGTCTGTAGGCCGACAATCTATCCGCTGAGCCAAACTGGCTAGGGCCAGATGCATTCATTTTTACCTTACAATATTTACTGAGGCCTGTGATCATAATTATGACGTTTGCTTGTTGGTCTAGTGAGGTTTAAAATCTGAGAGGGATGGGCAGGTATATGAACTTATAAGAACGTTTAAATACTGCGTGAAATAAATAAGTGTTCTTCTGACATCTGAATATGGATTTGAATGTAACCACATCACTAAATTCCAGGGGAAAATGTTTCCTATCTAAAAGGTTCTTCCTTAGAAAACCTCTGGTAAAAAGCCACAATTGCTCAACAGTAGATGCAGGTCATCCTGGGTGAACCAATGTTAGTGAAGTATTCCGGTTTGCATCTTAGCACGCTCAGCTCCGGGAAGGTTAAGACTTCTATAATTGGCTTATACTACAAAGAAGATTATGTAAGATACTTTTGGATGCTATTTTAGACTCTCAGATTTTACAGCAAGCATTAGTCATATCGTTAGCTCCTGCAATGAATGATTTTATCATTCATCTTATATTTAATTTTCTTACAAGACAAAAATAAATCACGAAAATTAAATTTTGGCATGAATATTTGGGACAGATCTGGGGGTGCTGAGGTACCCACCCGTGGTGCCTGCCAACACTCCAGTGACTTCTAGTAATGGCAAAAGCTGAACTTTTCTTACCACCTCCTTCTCTGAGGTAATAATTTAAACTTTGATAGAAAAGAATAATTGACTTACTAGGATGAAGGCTCTTAAAGCACCTCTCGGAAGGAAAGCCATTCCAGAGCAGAGATGTGGCAGATATAGTTTGAGGGGCCAAAGGAAGCCAAATGCTGGGACTGAGATGAGGACAGTCCAACTAATTGTACAATTTTCTAAGGCCAAGATGAAAATCAGTTGTAAGTCATACACATGAGTTTGAAAAAAAAAGCTTGATTTTATTTTGGTCAAATGATTCTTTCTAGGGCTATGCTAGATTGCAGAGAGAAAGAATAAAGGGTATTTTTACCTTAAGAAACTCTGAACTGTAAACATAAATAGCACTGGCCAGTGTGGCACATGGGAGGCAACCAATCGTTGTTTCTCTCTCTTCTCTCTCTCTCTCTCCCCTCCTTCCTCTCTCTATAAAAAAATAAATAAAACAGTACCAGGTAAGATGCTACATCACTTCTAAATGTTTGATAAAAACTGAAGCAATAAAAAAGAAATAGAGCATGGTCCAAACTTTTTTCAATGTAAAATTACCTGTATTTTACTAAACTGCTTATCTTAAGAGTTCATAATAGCCTGCACTTAAAGGGCATTCTGCAAAAGGTAGCTTTTTTAATGGACACCAGAATTGAGGCAATTTCTGGATTTTTAAGAAATTACATATTTTACAAATAAAGAGAAAGTTCTTTTGTAGATATCTTTTCTCAGTATTCACATCAGGAATTGTGGACATTTCAAACTCATTTCAGCATACATACATATTTATATAATAAGTTTGTTTTATGGGAAAATTTTGTTCTAGCTGTTAATGATCTTAAACGCTATATTGTATACATATATGTGTAAATTCTATATGTAGAAGTGTGTAGTATATATGTGATATATGTCTGTGTATTTGTATATATGCATATATATTTATTAGTAACCATTTTCTTGCACATTTTTGTATGCTCCACCCCCTCTCCTTAAGCCACGCTGATTACATTATTTCCCTTTAAGAAGGGCATCTCCACGCTCATTAGAGACTGGCCTGAGCTGTCCGTGACAGGGTGACTTCCCTCTCCCCCTCAGCCTGCAGCCTGAAGGCCTGACACCCTGGCCGAGAGCCCCTGATGCGTCTCCCTCACTGAGTGCTTCTCTGTGGTCCTAGGCTTTCCAGCGACAGGTGCACGAGAGCCTGACCCAGCTGGAGCTGATCAACAAGCAGTACCGCCGCCTGGCCCGAGAGAACCGCACCGACTCCGCCTGCAGCCTAAAGCAGATGGTCCACGAAGGCAACCAGCGATGGGACAACCTGCAGAAGCGCGTCAGCTCCATCTTGCGCAGACTCAAGGTCTTTATTCTGCCTCCTCGGTAGCTCAGGGGCCCGGAGGACAGGATCGGGCCATTCGAACACAATATTAAGTCACAAGCACAGTGATTCTGTAAGGTTGGGATGGAAAGAGGGGTGTCCAGGGTTAATTTATATGGTAAAGGATGGCAGGTTTCTCATTGCTCATTAAGAAAATGATTTTCCAGAAGACCATTGGAATTGGCAGTACTGTCTCAATATGCAGGCTTTGTAATTTTTATGATCTTCTTTTCACATCCAGCATTTCATTGGCCAGCGTGAGGAGTTTGAGACGGCACGGGACAGCATTCTGGTGTGGCTGACGGAGATGGATTTACAGCTCACTAATATTGAGCATTTTTCCGAGTGTGATGTTCACGCTAAAATAAAGCAGCTCAAGGTAATAGATTAGTGATTCTTCAAATTATCAGTGTGGAGAAAGTCTGAAGGGGAAGATCATTTTAAAATACATTTTTATTGATTTCAGAGAGGAAGGGAGAGGGAGAGAGAGAAACATCAATGATGAGAGAGAATCACTGATCAGCTGCCTCCTGCACGCCCCACATTGGGGATTGAGCTGCAACCCGGGCATGTGATAGCTGGTTCATAGGTCAATGCTCAACCATTGAGCCACATGGGTTAGGCTGACGGGGAAGAGATGTGTAGATCCTTTGGTGAAAAAAATAGTAACTTTTTTCAGTTTTTTTTTTAATTTTGGGGGTGACATTGGCTAATAAGATTATAGAGGTTTTAAGTGTACATTTCTAGGGTACTTGATCTTCATGTTGCCCAACATCCAAAGTCACATCATTTTTTATCAACACATATTTGACCCTCTTTACCCTTCACTACTCCCACCCCTCTTCCCTGTGGTAACCACCATACTGTTGTCTGTGTGAGTGTTTGTGTGTTTGTTTCTCTTGTTTGTTCATTTGTTGCTTTCACTTCTGTATCCCACCTCTGAGTGAAATCATATGTTTCTTGACTTTTTCTGTCTGACTTATTTCACTTAGCATGATACTCTCAAGGCTCATCCATGTTGTTGCAAATGGTAGTATTTCATCTTTTCTTATGGCTGAGTAGTATTGTATTGTGTATATGCACCACATCCTTTTTATCCATTCATCTATGGAAGGGCACTTTGGTTATTTCTATGATTTGGCCACCATAAATAATGCTGCAGTGAAGAAGGGATGCATATATCTTTGTGAATAAATGTTTCTGGTAGATACCCAGAAGTGGGGTTGCTGGGTCATATGGTAACTCTATTCATAATTTTTTGAGAAACCTCCATACTGTTTTCTATAGTGGTTGTACCAGTTTACATCCCCACCAGCAGTGAATGAGGGTTCCTTTTTCTCCACAGCCTGTCCAAAGCTTACTATTACTTGTCTTGTTGAAAATAGCCATTGTAACATGTGTGAGGTGGTATCTCATTGTAGTTTTGATATGCATTTTCCTAATGGCTAGTGAAGTTGAGCATCTTTTCATACATCTATTAGTCATTAATATGTCCTCTTGGGAGAAGTGTCTGTTCAAGTCCTCTGTGCATTTTTTAATTGGATTGTGTGTTTGCTTGGTATTGGGTTGTATGAGTTCTTTATATATTTTGGATATTAGCGCCTTGTCGGAGCTGTTGTTTGTAAATATCTTCTCCTATTCAGTTGATTGCTTTTTTGTTTTGTTCTTGGTTTGTTTTGCTGTCCAAAAGCTTTTCAGTTTGATATAGTCCCATTCATTTATTTTTGCCTTTACTCCCCTTGCCTTTGGGGTCAAATTTATAAGATCTTCTCTAAGACCAAGAAATTAGTTCTTCTTGATTGAAAAAAAAATTTTTAAATGAAAAGGATATTAAAAATGAAATAGTGAGCACTACCCAGAGATACCTACCATTAACATATTACTTTTATTTATTAACTTGATAGCCACAGTGTTGGGAATCTTTTTTCCTGATTAGTTTTGTGTGTGTGTGTGTTTGTTTTTTCCTGGTTTGTTTCTAGCACCTTCAAATAGTTTATTTGACCTCTATGTTTCAGAGAATTACAACTTTCTCATATTAGAATTTCATTCCACATATTCTACACTCTTAGATGCCAAGTTAATTTTAAACATATTTTATATAATTCAACTACAGTGGCTAGTTAAAATTTTAAACAGAAGGGACATCCACTACATTAGATAAAAGGATTCTCTAAGTGGAAATGTATTTAACAATTTGAATAATTTGCAAAGCATCTTATGAAATTTTCTTCCCAAGATAGTTAAACAGATTTAACAACTACATAAAATCATGATGGCTATAACCTTAGGTTATTATAATAAAACAGAAAGTTGCTCTTAATCATATATTAGGGTGAAAAAGAAATCATAAAATAGTTAAGCCTGGTATTTTGCCCAACCCCTCTTTCCACCCTCCCACCCTGACTTTCCCAAGTTGTCTCACAGGCAAATCAATATTTAAAACCTTTGGCAGGGCATTTACTCCAAGTGGTAATTGAGCTTTTCTTTTTGGGGTCTGGCAGGGACATAGAACTCATTATGGCCCGCTATTCTCCCCTTGCAGTCCTCATTATTGGACAGTTTTGACTATTCCAGAGTTTGTTCTTGTGAATTAAAGTGTATCCCCTGACACTTATCCCAAGTAGCTTAACTCTTCTGAACCATGTAAACTGAGTCTAAATGATTCTCCAGAATTACTTATTTTTCAAATCATTTTCATCTTTCCTGCTCATGTCCCGAAACAGCAAAAATCATCTGAGAAGAATTGGTGATATTGTCATTGGCTTGGTTTCTCTTAGTCATGTCTGATGTACAATCAAGAAATCTAAAATTAAAATATTCAATATATGTCTTTAAAGTGCTACATTTATTTCATTGGCACTGTAATGATTACAGTGGATTGTCATCAGGGGTAACCAGTGCTATGGATTTACGGTGGGTTTGAATGTTTTCTCCTCTGATTTTCTGCCCACACTGTCCATGGTAGTAGATTGGATTAGCCAAAGGCACGCTTCTGGTCATGGAATTTTAGTGATTCCATTTCCAAATCATGTTCTGACTTAAAATGTTTATGTTTTACTTTATAAAGTAAAAGCCTCTTAGCTGGTCATAGTAGAGGGTACGTTCACTATTCCCTACGTGGTTTTTCTAAAGATGTAGCTTGTCATTATTTCATGTCAATGTGAGCAATGAAAATCACGTGGGATGTGTGCTCCCTAGGCCTTCCAGCAGGAAATTTCGTTGAACCACAACAAGATCGAGCAGATCGTTGCCCAAGGAGAGCAGCTGATTGAGAAGAGCGAGCCCTTGGACGCGGCGGTCATCGAGGAGGAGCTGGACGAGCTGCGGCGCTACTGTCAGGAGGTCTTCGGGCGCGTGGAGAGATACCACAAGAAGCTGATCCGCCTGCCTGTGTGTAACACCAGTCTTTCATTGTCGCCAAATCTAAAGAGAAATCGTGATGTGGGGTTCGGTAGTGTTGTATCGCTAAGGGCCCAGACACTGGATCCAGAATGCCTGGGTTCCAGTTTCAGCTCTGACGTGTTGGCTACGTAACCTTCGGCAACTTACTTCACGTATCTTGCCTCAGTTTCCTCAACTGTGAAACTAGTTTAATAACAGTACCCTACCTTGTAGAAAGGATTATTTGGGGGCATGAAATGAGGATGGATAGATGATTGATAAATAGATGCTAGATAGATAGATAGCTTAGAAGAGTACTTGGAACATATCATCTATGGAAGATAAATAAAGAAGCTTCTAGAAGAAAGGAGATGAATGTGAACAATGTAAATAGTTACTCTACTGATGAGGTTGTTTTGTGGAATTTTTTTCTCTTCCATTCCCCTAATTGCTGCCATAATCACATCTCAGTGTCGAGATGTTATTACCAGAATATTTGGAACCTTCTGTGTTAACTATATTTTGTGTCTGGGATATAAGTTTAAAACGGACCAGCTACAATTTTATCAGTGATTTCCTTCTGTTTCTGACATGTGCCACTATGATTGTGTTGTGTTGCATGCATAGTGCTAAATTGCCCTTATTTACATTATCTTATTTAATCTTATACTGATTCTTTGAAGTAGTTTTTTGTTTGTTTTAAAATACATTTGTATTGATTTTTAGAAAGAGAGGGAGAGGGAGAGAGAGAGATAGAAACATCAATGAGAGAGACACATCGATCAGCTGCCTCCTGCACGCCCCCCTACTGGGGATTGAGCTGGCAATCTGGGCATGTGCCCTGACTGGGAATCAAACCCAGGATCTCTTGGTCCATGGGATGACACTCAGTCCACTGAGCCACACCAGCCGGGCAGTAGCTTTTAATATTATTTCCATTTTAGTGCTGATAAAACTGAGGCTCTGTTAGATTAATTTATAAGACATTTTTAAAGTTAGCACAAGATTATTGCTTATTTGGTGATAGGAAGTTTAAAAGTATCCCCACTGAGGTAGGAATGTGACCCCGACAAGCGTGAACTCTGAGCTTTGGCGAGAGGCAGGACAAGACATGAGGAGGGATCCCCTGGTCGCTGCGGTAACGGAGTTGGCTTGACTGCCTTTCTAGCTCCCAGACGATGAGCACGACCTCTCTGACCGGGAGCTGGAGCTGGAGGACTCGGCAGCTCTCTCAGACCTCCGCTGGCATGACACCTCCGCGGACAGCGTGCTGTCCCCCCAGCCTTCCTCCAACCCCTCCCTCTCCCTCGCCCAGCCCCTCCGGAGCGAGCGGTCAGGACGAGACACCCCTGCCAGTGTGGACTCCATCCCCCTGGAGTGGGACCATGACTATGACCTCAGTCGTGACCTGGAGTCTGCCGTGTCCAGAACTCTGCCCTCTGAGGATGAAGAGGGTCAGGAAGACAAAGATTTCTACCTCAGGGGAGCTGTTGGCTTATCAGGTAGGAAAAAGTGCTTCCTATATACCAGCTTAAAAGGAAATAAAAGGGGGTGGATATTGTACTGGAAACATGTAACCCATCTTCTTCCTTCTCCCATGAAGGGAAAGTGTACATAAGGGAACATTGGATATTCGTGTGACTATCAAATACAAAAATTGGCATGGCCATTGATTTATCCCACATATACATAGGGTCTTACAATATGACAAGCGCTTTGCTAAGCTCTGGGAACACCCAGTTCCTTTTCTTGCACTCAAGTGTGGAACACGGACAATAAGTAGGACATGTTTGGCACCAGGATCTAACGTGCATGGGCAGGTACAGAAGCACAACCAGGTGACACCTAACCGCTTTGAGGAATGGCTTTAGGGAAGGGACCTTGAGCTGAGCCCTGAAGGATGAGGAGGAGTTGGTCAGGTAGATGCAGCAATGTTCAGAGGAGGAAAGCAGAGGGCACCCAGCCCAGCTTTCTGAGTAGCCGCAGTACTGCTGGGCACCTGAGGTTTGTTCACAGCGACAAGGCTGTAGATTGGGAAGCATAGAGTGGACAAAGAGGAGGTGAAAAGGCCAACCAGGACCTCGTCATGACGCAGCCTATTCACATGGAGAGGAGTTTGGCTTTTATCCAGAAGGTAATAGGGAGCCACAGCAGGGGCCTAAGGAGGGAAGCAATGTGATCAGATGCATATTTTCAAAGAACCTGTCTTGAAAGTACTAGATGGAGGGAAGTGCATTGGGATGAAGAGAGTCCAAATGGAAATGTTTTCTAATCCAGGACAGAGATGGGATGGTGGCCTGAACTAAAGGAGCAGCATTGGGAAATAGAAGGGAAGAGATGTGACAAATCATAAGCAGTCTCCTCCATAACTGATAGCTGACAGAATTGGGATTGAGGCGATTTTCTGGCTTGAGTATCTTAGTGAAAGATGTGATTTCTCTCATTTCTGTTTTGTCTTTATGGTATCGCCTAATAGTTAGGCATTTGGCATGGAAAGCAGCGCTATTCAGTATGTAGCCACTGGAGCGCTGACGGTTGAGCACTGGAATGTGACTGCTGTTGAGATTTGCTGTGTCAGCCACACTTCCATGAATACATGAAGTTCAAAGGCTTACACAAAGAAAGAATATTAAACATGAACATGTTGATTCCATGCTATAATTTAGATGTATTGATTTAGTAAAATAAAGTATTAACGTTATTTTCATCTATTTCTTACTACTTGTTGAACCTGGCTGTTAGAAATTACACGTGCAGCTCACGTGATGTCCATTGGCCTCTTTCAGCACTGTTCTGGAATCTGTCTGGGTTGAAATTTCTTTAGTAGCTTTTGAGACTTTGATAAGTAACTTAATTCCTCTGGGCATCAATTTTCTCATCCATAAAATGGGAATGACTCTCCCATTCACTGTAGGGTTGCTGTGAGGGTACATGATGGCTGGACACAGTGCCTGTCTCATAAAACACTGTCAACCAGTGAGTGGGAGCCTTCACTAGGATTCACTTCAAGAAAACGTGCTCAGGAGCTATCTGTCTACAAGAACTAACTTCCTTTTTTCCCCAGGAAAGTTGTTTTCCTGCCACAAAGGAATCGATGTTTGCAGAACTTACCTGTCAACTTAGACTGTGCTCTTTTCACAGATGTCAGGATCCCCGAGAGCCCCGAGGCCTATGTAAAACTCACAGAAAGTGCCATCAGAAATACCTCTGGTAGGCACGCCCAGCCCAGGCAGCCTCCCGCCCTCACCTGTCACAGGCCCCTCTCAGCACCGCCTGTCCCTCTCTCGGCTCTGTGGCACAAGCTTGTTAAGGCAGAATCTTCTCTTCTGACTGCTGTACCATGAGAACAAAAACAAACGAAACAAAACAAACACGAGGTTAAGCAACACCAAGAGTAAGATCTGAATAGCCAAGTGCAGTAACTTCTCACCTGCTCAGTGGTGATCAGCCTCATGAGGTGCACACCTGCAATGCCCATCAGCAACAGAGAACAGGGGACGGAAGCCCTGGTCTTCAGCACGTGTGCCCCGGTGCCCTGTGGGGTTGTAGCAGCCCTGACTTTGTGGCTTTGATGGGTCGCCCACCTCCCTCTGACTGGAGGGTCAGGGCTCAGGCTCTGGTTGAACCACCAGCCTGCATGGGTGACCTTGGGCCGCCGCTCACCCTCCTGATCTCTGGGGTCACACATTAGACAAGGACTGAGACCAGATGTTCACTCTGTGTCAATGTGGTTAGTAAGTCTAACCACATATAAATACTTTGAAATGAAAATTGTATTCCACAGTGCCTTAAGACTTAGATTTTTCTTTCAGGACAGAAGGATTCCTGAAACAAGAAAAATGAAAGAAAGCAACATGAAACCAGTTTTGCTTAACGTTGCACTAGACCCGTGGTTGGCAAACTGCAGCTTGTGAGCCACATGCGGCTCTTTGGCCCCTTGAGTGTGGCTCTTTACAAAATACCACAAAATACCACGTGTGGGCATGCACATACAGTGCAATTGAAACTTCGTGGCCCATGCACAGAAGTCGGTATTTTTGTGGAAGAGCCACATTCAAGAGGCCAAAGAGCCACATGTGTAATGAGTTTGCCGACCACTGCCCTAGTAGGTTTATTCAAGAAAAGTCTTTCTAATGATTTCTAGTAGGAGTCACAGGTTTTTAAGTTCTCTTGAACTTCTTTGGCTTTTCAGATCTCTGCGAGTTGGTGGAAAATGTCCTGTGTTTCCTGGGAAGTTGGACATCTTTTCTGTGTCTAGGTCGCTTCAGTCTCAGGGGACAAACTCTGCAAAGCAATGGGGTGGACATTAGGTTTCCCAATCTGTGCTGTCTCCTGAAGCTAGACACTGCTGGCAGTTCAGCCACAATGGGTGGGTGTGGGCTTAGCTGGGAGAAGCAGGCTGCTACCTTTGTTGCTGTATATCCTGTAATGGTGACTGGCAGACCTCAGTGGCCTCCCCTTTGTATCTCCACTGACCCTGGAAATGGGTGCAGAGTGCAGCCCTTGCTGAGGGGAAAATGTTTCTGTAGTATTAGCTGTCAGGTTTGCAGATAATGCACTCTGCAATCCCACACTCACTGCTACAGCTTCTTCCGGGCCCTGATGCTAGCTCTGGGAGGGTGATGGGAGGTGGCCAGGCTTGGTGACTTTCTGTTTCTCTGTCTGAAATGCCAGTTGCCAGACAACCATGGCCATACCTCTGTTCTTGGTGCTTGCCCAGGTCACTGGGTTCAGCTGCAGCAACCACTGACCACTTCCCTAGGAATGCTCACTGTATTTCTCTGTTCCTGTCCAAAGGGA